GTTTTTTGTAATCGAACTTCGCGCATGCACATGAATCGGATGAGCAAAACCCCGCACATGCACGCAAATGGAAACCGGCTGTGGCCGGCCGTCCATCACGGGAATGCGGAAGTGGGGTGGTGGGTCCAACGGAGAGGGCGACAGACGCCACCAGACCCCAATAGAGCTCCGATGGACAGGCGATGCAGGGGGAGGCGGGCTCCCTCATCACATCCGCCCTAACCGCCTGTGCGACAGTGGCCATAGCGACCCTCCAGAGGCAGCAAGCCTGGCTACAGTGGGAGGGGGCCATAGGTGCGGCCAGGAGATGGAGGAATGCCATGGCCGCCACACAGCTAGCCAGCCGTTGACGGCGCAGCAGGCGGTGGAAGACCCGCAGAAGAAGGGAGACGCTCCAGCTACTCCGTCTCTCCGTTGAGTATCCAAACCGACACTGCTGGGTGTACCCAAGAGCCACGGAATGGTGGGCAACCTTCTTCACTAATGTCTGGGGCGAGGAGCAGTGGCTCGAGCACTTCAGGATTTCCAGGTCGTATGTCAGTACCAGCGGAGGTCGTATGTCAGTACCAGCCGCGCGCCCATGGCATGCTGGGCACAATCGACACTGCAGCCACGATCGCCAGTGTGGCCCTCTCCCAGCAGCCATTTGGCGGAGGGAGAGGGGTGCTGGCGTGACATGGGCATGGAATATCCACATCCATGTATTCGCAGGCCAACATTCATGTGGCTGGTGGATGCCCTCCGGGATAGACTGCAGCGACAGTGTACAGTGATGCGTGAACCTGTGTCAGTGGAGGAACGTGTCGCAGTCGGTGTGTGGTGGATGGCCAATATCATGTCCTACAGAACCATCGGACAGCAGTTTGGCCTCGCGCGGTCCACCGTGGCCGGCATAGCGATGGAGATTACACGGGCCATCACAGAGGAGCTCCACTGGAGAGTGGTGTACCTACGGAACCCAGACAGGGTGCGGACAGGAGGGGAGGGGGAGGGAGGCGGGACGGGGCCCGATGGGCCAGCAACCAGGAACATGGGGCAGCGGTAACTGGCAGGGAGATAGAGAGCCAGCTCCACGGGAGGCGCCCTTCCCCCACGCCAGGCCCCAAGAGGGTGCGAGACCCGTCACTCTCTGTGTGTCAATTACAGGTGATAAGGTCCTTCGCCTCCAAGGGTTTCCCGCAGTGGGTTGCCGCAATGGATGGATGCCACATTCGTGTGCGAGTACCTGTCCACCTTGCCCAGTACTACATGAACCGCAAGAACTACACCTCAGTACTCCTGCAGGGCACCGTGGACAAAGTGGGTTGTTTCGTGGACATCGTTGTTGGCCAAAGTGGCCAAAGTCGCGATGCCCACGTCCTGCTGTGATGCCCACATCATGGCCAGGATGGATGCGGGACTCTACGTGCCTGGTAACCCCACCCGCACAATCGAGGGGGTCCCGGTGCCGCCACTCATACTGGTGGATGCAGCATACCCCCTGAGACGTTGGCTCATCCCTCCCTACAAAGGCCACCTCAATGTACAGCGGGCGCACTTCAACAAGGTGCGTAGCAGGGTGCGCAATGTGGTCGAGCACACCTTCGGCCGCCTGAAGGCACGGTGGCGGTGCCTGCTACTGCAGGTGCCAGTGGAGCTGAGGAACGTCCAGCCGGTCGTCGCTGCCTGTTGCATTCTGCACAATGTGTGCAAGGACCGTGGGCATGCGGTCCCAGAAGTGTTCACCGAGGAGGAACAAAGGGCACTTTCGGACTCAGAGGCAGCCACCCTTGACCCAGACCCACAGATGGCAGACGCTGCAGGCGAGCCGGTGCGTGAGGCCTTGAACACATTGCTCTGGAGGCGACCCAGGAGACGCTAGCAGAATCAAGGCCCCCTGACATCCTCGCCACTACCTTTCTGGTGGACACGAGCCTAAATGGGAAGCTGCACCAGACCCCACTCGCTGATGTCTGCCCACTCACTTGGACCCACCAGCCCCTAGAGCAAACATATCCGCTGCGCCCCTGCAGTAAAGGCCTACCGGGAGCTGTTCGACCCGTCCAGCCCACCCACCCCACACCAACGGGAAGTGTGCACAGAGAGATTCAGAGAAACGCTCCACCACGCATGCACGCGTGTCGACTTGCGCACCTGCGAAAGACGACACAACGCAGAAAGGGGCATGCGCATTCCGCGTTGCCCACCCAGCCAGCACTTTGAGCCATGGCATTCCCCAGCAAGGGCATCCTGTGGCTCCCGGAGGAGGTGGAGTGCCTCCTCAGGACATTCCACGACCTCGAGGCGGGTCCGAGGGTGATGCCCTCAACCCACCTCGAGACACTCAGCGTTTTCGCCGAGGTCCACGGTTTCCGTAGGACAGCAAGCCAATGCCGCATGAAATTTAAAAGGGAAAAGGCCCCCTTTTTCGAGGCGCTGGAGGACTGGGAGGGCATCCCTCCATGGGGGGAGCGCCCTCCCAGATTCCACCTGCTACGCGCCCTTTGGCAGCAGGGCGGGTGGCCCAGATGGCGCCATCGCACCCCCTACAGTGAGTACACCCCACCCTGGGCATGGCGGTGTTCCCATGGTCAGGGAATGTGCCACCTCCTGCTTTGTTCTCTCACCCTCAGGGCGTCCACATGCGAGGCGGGTCAGGCTGCCCTCCCCTGCTGTTGAGGCGCCAGAAGCAGCAGCCCTCAAGCCAGCCCGGCACCCAGGGGAGCAAGGTATGTTCTGGAGGGTGGCATGCTCAGTGGCTAGTGCAGTGCAGGGCATGGAACATGGCCCATGTGTCAGCCACCACCTGGTGGGATGGCCCCAAGACTGGCCCAGTGGCCTTGGGTGGTCACCTCCTCGACAGGTCAGCCCACATGGGTGCCTGGGCCAGAGGGCCGAAGGAGCCAAGAAACCTGTGCCACCAGGTGTGTGACATGCATGGGCAAAGTTGCACATCTGCCTCATGTGTGCTCACCTCCTGTCCCCATAGAACCAGTGGTGGTGAGCTCCCTGCTGGATTCCCCGCCCCCTGGTGGAGGGCCTGAGGCAGGTGAGTGGGGGCTGTAGGGTGGGCCAACATATGCGGGTGGTCTGTGTGGGGGGGACATGGGGTGTGCTGGGGCCATGGGAGCATCCCTGGCAGGTTGTATCAGGGTCAGCCATGCCGACTGTGCGCTGGTTCTGGCCACAGCCCCTGGGGACTGTGGTCTGGCGACGTGGCAGGTGGCCAGCCAGGGTGCGCTGGTGCTCAGAGGAGGACCACTGGGCCCATCAGCACCCCTTGCCCATGTCCACACAGATGGACACAGGACCTGTGTGTCACAGGGGCCACAACAGTGTTCCCAAGGGTCCCCCCTCAGTGGGCCGCGGTGGCAATGGAGCCTCCCATGGTCAGATGTTTCTCGTGACAGCTGTGTTGTTTCCAGCAGGTGACCAGGCAGGGGAGGAGGCAGCAGTGGCCACGGCTGGGTCCGCCGTGGTCATCAGCTCAGCCCCTGAAATCGATCCAGGTAGGTTAACCCCCCTGTGGACCTGGTGGTGGCCACATTGTTGGTGCATGACTGGGTGCGTTGTCCCTGCAGGGGAGGGGCCATGGCCTGGGCCCTCGGCGTCACCAGCACAGGGTTGGTGCATGATTGGGTGTTCTGTCCTTGCAGGGGAGGGGCAATGCCCTGGGCCCTCAGCGCCTCGAGTGGGGGGAGTGCTGGGCCAGAGGCTCGATGCCATAGAGGCGGCACTCAGAGACCTACGCGTGGCAGGTGGGTACAACACAGCCAGGGGTGGGTCGTCCACCAGCTGGCTGGTGATGGCTGGGACTTGGGTGTCGTGGTGTGACCCCTGGGCCCAGGGTTCCGTTTGCACGGTGTGCGTGGTTGGCTTTGATTGGTGTTCCAGGTGACTGTGTCTGGGCTTCTGCCTGGTGATCCCTGAGGTTATGCCACTGATGTGGTGGTCCATGTCCTGTCTTGCCCACAGTCAAATGGCATGACCACCAGCTGGCGGAGCTCTGGCGGCTCCTCATCGAGATGAGGCTGGATGGGGTCCTCCAGGAACAGCGCAGGGAGGAGCGGGAGCGAAGGAGGGCCCAGCCACCACCGCCGCCAACAGCCCGATGAGGGGGGGCCTTGGAAAGGGAGGGGGAGGGGGAGACATCGGGGGAGAGCCTGTCTGAGGCAGAGACAGAGGGGATGAGCTCGGAGGAGGCGGAGGGGCCACATCAGGCCATCCCACTGGACCCAGCGCAGGCCGAGGACAGGGGTGTTGAGGGGGATGGGGAGAGTTCCGACTAGTTATATGTGTTGCATTTGTTGTTTGGTGTGTGTTTCTGGTTGTTATAAAGTTATTTTGTTTACATGTGGTCTCCGTGTGGTCTGTGGGCCCTCCTTCCCCCCTCCTTCCCCCCATGGATTGCTGGAAAGACACATATGCAGCTGTAGTTTAAGGCACTTTTATTTCGCATGGCAACTGTACACATGGGGGGGACTTCCACTGTGGGAGCTGGTGGGCGAGGGTGGCCAGATGGTCCCTGCGTGACCTCCCCTCGGGAGGTACTGGGGAGCTGGTCCCTGCACGGCTCCCCTGGATGGTCCCACACAGCTGCCACCCTTGGGGGCCACAGTGGCAATCCATTTGATGTCCCCATAGAAGCATCTGACTGTCCCCAGCTCGGTACAGGGTCAGTCATGTGGCAGACACCTTGTATGGGGCATTATACTCCTGGATGGTTTGGGAGGGGTGGGCACAGCGGTGTGGGAGGGGACGCCCACCACCACTGCTTGCACCTGGTGACCCTGTGCACCCTACTGTGGAGGGGTGTAGTGCTCTGTCTTCTTCTTTTTCCTGCCTGGCCTCCCACTGTCACTAGATGCCTGGCTGTTGGCGTCCGTGAGGTCTGGCTGCGGGGGCTGGGTTGCGGCATGCCCCCTGCCCACAAAGCCGCAGCCTGCCTGTGGGGGCTGGGCTGTGGCACCCCCCTACCCATGGAGCCGCGGCTAAAAATGGGAAATTTGCATTTGATAATCCTATTGCAGACTACAACTACCCCTGCCCACGGAGCCGCGACCTGCCTGCGGGGGCTGGGCTGCGGGGGGCGTCGTGGCTACGGGGCCGGGGGCTGCCTGTGGGGGCTGGCCACGGATACGGATGGTCTCCACCAGCAGGGTAATAGAATGTGTCAGCTCCACCATGGAATTGGTGGATGTGTCCATGGAGTGGACACATCTCTGGTCCTCTCGGTCATCTGCAGTGGCGGCCTGCAGCTGTGCCAGAACTTCCTCATGCTGCCTCTGTTCTGCCCTCCTGTCCTGTCTGCTCTGCTCCCTGCTCTGGGCAGCAAGATGTTCTCTGACACGTTGTAGGGCCGAGACCCGCCTCCTCCTGCTGGTGATGAGTGCTGCCCTCTCGGCAGCCGTGAGGTCTCCCATATTGACGTCTGGTGGCAGGCCTGGGGAGTAGTGGCAAGACGCACATCTCTCTGGTGGCTCAGCCAGCATGCAACTTCCATGATGCCATGCGGTCCCACCTCCCATGCCACCACTCACGTTCTGGATCTCGTTGGCCAGCCTCCACTGGTTCTGCTTCCCCCTCATCGTCATCCTGTGATCCCTCTGGTGTTCCTGTGGTGTGGGGACAATGGGCCCTGGTGCCCCATGCCAGGAATGGGCGGCTATCATGGTGTCCTGCAAAGATACCATTTTGGTATCAACTCATATTAGCAATCTCTTCCCTATAATTGATATAGGAGTTAAATTATGGTCGGACCACACCCTAGTGACTTACCCTGGGAGCTTGCTGCTGCCATTGCCCTCTCGCCGCCATCACTCTCCTCGTCGTCACTGCTTGGTTCCTGGGTTGCACAATGGGAGTCGGAGCCTGGGGGGAAGAGTACAGGGGTAGTTATGAGTATTCCTGTAGTGTGCTGTACTGCTAGGGATGCTTTGGTTGCCTTCCTCCCTATCCAGCTTTCCTGTGCTGGCACCTTGTGCTGCTAATATTATTTTTAAGACTTGGGATAAAAGAAGGAAGTTATTGGCACCCTCTCCCTCCCCGATGACCACGTTTCTAGAACAATCGTGGTTTATCCCAGCACATACTTTTAAATTATGGAAACAAAAAGGACTTACTCGTTTTGTGGATGTGCAACAAGGACCGAGTATGGCTCACTGGTATCATGCCCCTGGCCCTGTGGTGTGGTGGGCTATTTTGGCATGTTGTTGCCCTATACGTCTGTGAGGTGCTTTGGCCATCTATGTGATGGCTGTGCCTGCTGGTGGGAGCTGTCCTCTTGTACTTGATCTACTGTGGCACCCCATGGGGATGCTGCTTCCTGGGTTCCCCTCATTGCCCAGCCACTGATGGCACCCATGTGCGAAGGGTGGGGGGTTTCCCCAGGGCTGGTGGCATGACCCCAGGTGAGAGCAGGTGGGTGGGATGGGAGCTGTCTTGGGGTGGTGTGCTGGCTGCTATGTGTCCCTCGTTGGACCTGGGATACTAGCACGCACTGCCCCAGTACCTGTGGGCTGCTGCTGTAACACCTATCTGCCTGGCTGCTGCTGGATGTCCGTGGCTCCCCTGTCTCCTGTGAGTCATCAGGGAACAGATCCAGGGATGGCTGCTGTGAGGAGGTGGAGGGCCCCCCAGAGGCGGCTTGGGGCTGGGAGCGGCTCAGACGTCTGCAGTAGGTCTGCTGTCCATATCTGCCTCTCCGTGTGGAGGAATCGGTTGAGCTCCTCATAGAAGGGGCATGTGTATCTGCTACCACTGGAGCTTGCATTCTGAGTCAGGATCTTTTTATATTTGAGACGCATGTCCTTGGCTTTCGCACGGCACTCTTCTGCGGTCCGCTGATGGCCTCGGGTGGCCATCCCTCTGTCTATGTTCCTGTGGGACTGTCTTAGAGTGGTCTGGACTGCCCTATCTCCCCACAGGTCCAGAAAGTCCAGAGTCTCCGGCCGCCGCCACGTGGGACCATACACCCCAGGCGCCCTTCCCCTCCCACGGGTGACAGGGGGGGTTGCTGCTTGTGGCGGACGGGTCACCGTGGTCAACAGTCGGTGTGGGGACGGTCGGTAATGGGTTTTTGACGTGCGCTTCATAGCGACTGTCGGGCATGGGTTGCGTTTCTGTGCATGCAACATGCGGCGGAAGTATGGACCTTTGTTTTCGGAACTTTCGCTTTCCTCTTCATGCGCATGCACGATTGCGTGCTGGTGCGCATCCTGTGGAGACTAAAAAAAACTTTTCGCGACGGGGCATGGGTGGGCACCGGATGCCACGGGATTCCACTGGAAACGTGATCACACGCCCGCCCTTGCCCCGTGGTTTCCGGAAACTAGTACCTCCGAGGTACTAGTTTTTTGCCACGCATCTTCGGCAGGAAGCCTCGGTTGAGCCACGGGAGCACTATGCTTCCCAGATGTGTCGTAAGATCGCGCCCTGAAACTCCGCCTATTTTCCGTCCCTGTAGCGTGGCTACTGCTCCGTGTGACCGGGGCCCATGAAGACTGGCCTATGAAACCCAACACTGCATTCAGCTGGAAAAGACCTAAAAAACGCCGCACAAGATGAACTTAATTATAAAGTCTGAACCCATCTTGGAAAAGATTACCTGTTGTTAATCTGATAATGACTGTTCTTCCCTTATAAGTATAGGAGGCTATATATACATTAATATATATTTATCCTTTATAAAAAGGGGAGGGAGGAGGGGCTATAAATATTTTACCCATTTATTGTGTTCTTTGTACTGCACATTTAGGTGTAGTAAGTTTTTGTATTAAGTATTCTAAGAAATTATGAATTTCTATCCCTAGAAGGAAGGGACTGTGGAACTATGTTATTAGATCCACATGTGTTTCAGTTGTATTGGTTTTTGTTGGTTTACCTTTATATTTCTTTACATAAGCTTTAAGTTCTATGTTTTAGTGTATGTAGGCTGAAACAGTGGTTCCAGTGGATTTTAAATGACTTTGACTCGGGTTCCAGACGGCGATGTAAATTCCATACACCATGGAGGGTACCAATTATTTTTATTATATGCACAGCTATATTTTTTGCTTTAGAGCTTCGAATAACTGGACCTTTTGTTCATTTAAATGAATAGTAACAGACTGAAATTTGCCTCTGTGAATTGCAGAGGATTGAATAATGTAATTAAAAAAAGACGGGTTTGTACTGCTTTGTTACAACAAGGAGCTGAAATTATATTCCTACAAGAAACACACCTTCATAGAAAACAAGAAAAGGTTTTTACTTCCCCTAAATTTACTCAACAATATTTAGCGGCTGGCTCTTCGAAATCTAGGGGAGTAGCCATACTAATTAAGAGACACGTTAGATATATTGTGGAAGAAGTATGTAAAAGCCCTACGGGTAGATAAATGTTTTTAAAAGGAACCCTAAATGGTGAAAAATTGACATTAGTTTCCATTTATGCCCCAAATGTAGGCCAAATAGAATTTTTAAAAGATACTCTTACAAAGCTGTCTGATTTTAGTACAGATCCCTATATTATTGGGGGAGACTTTAATTGTATAGCAAATTATTTTTTAGATAGATCCAAGCCTAAAAATGGGAAATTTGCATTTGATAAGCCTATTGCAGACTACAACTCCCAATTGCCCTCATTATTAACACAATTTCAATTAAGTGATCTATGGAGATTAAGACATAAACAAAAGAAAGATTATACATTTTATTCTGCAAAACATGATGTGCATACCTGTATAGATACCATTTTGGTATCAACTCATATTAGCAATCTCTTCCCTATACAATACATTGAAAAAACCCACTTATAAAGGTGGATTAGCATTACCAGATTTGGTTCTTTATCATGAGACAATTATTTTGGTAGGCCTTTTGAAATTATATAACTCAAATTAGTGATTGGAAGTACATTGAAAACACGTATTTGAAAAGATGTAACTTCCAAGGTCTTCTATGGGAACTTCCATCCCAGAGACCTAGGGATATTGATCATAACACATTTTTAAATATTATTTTTAAGACTTGGGATAAAAGAAGGAAGTTATTGGCACCCTCTCCCTCCCCGATGACCACGTTTCTAGAACAATCGTGGTTTATCCCAGCACATACTTTTAAATTATGGAAACAAAAAGGACTTACTCGTTTTGTGGATGTGCAACAAGGACCGAGTATGGCGTGCAGAGAATACCTAGAACAAAAGCATGCATTTCATTTACCATGGCTAGAATACCATCAACTTCATTCTTTATATTGTTTAGATAAGTGCTTATGTCGCCCTCTTACAACTTTTGAACGACATTTAAAATCTTTGACATCTAGATCTATTCCTATAAGACTGCAGGCATTTAAATTGATGATGAGATGGTATAATGCTCCAAGCAAAATACACCATATCTCTCACACTTAGTCAAATTTGTGTTGGCGGAAATGTGGTGAACATGGTTCTTTTATACATTGTTGGTGGGAGTGTGGTGTAGTTAAAAATTTTTGGGAGAAAATACTTTGGTATATAAAGGAAATAACAGGGTATGAGATTTAAAAAGCCCCAAAACAAATTTTGCTAGATTTATGGACGGATACTACGGTTCCCAGAATTCAACAAGAATTGATTTCCACCATGCTTTCAGCAGCCAAGACTTTAATAGCATTTAGTTGGAAAGACTCCAAACCAATCCCTATTGAACGTTGGTTTACTAAGCTATGGGAACTACTAACCATGGACAAAATATCAGATACCATACAAAGGATTGAAGAAAAAGGACTTACCACGAACTTGCTGACCAAATGGTTACCTTTCTTGGACTATATACATGGTGAGAGTTCTCCTCTTCGTTGCAAAATGCCTGTAAAATATAAAGAAATACTTACCTGTTTTTAGTTTATTTGCATTTCAAAAGGAAACACCGTTCACTCCGTATTTGTAATCTTTTTTTAACGGCCACCTAGTTTATGGTTTAATGTTAATAGTTATGGTTAAGATTTATTGTTTGTTTGTATTATATATAATGAAAATAATAAAATATATTTTAAAAAAACAATAAGAAAGATTACATCTTTAAGAGTGTTAAAATTAAATCATCATTAAAACCTGGCTAGTGTCTTGATCGTTTGTCAAAATCTAAGTTTTATTCTTACTAAATATTTAAATATTACTAAATATTTAAATATTTAGAACTATAATCAATATCTTCATCACTTTTAATATGATACTCAGATTTTAAAATTTTTTTAAAAATTAATTTCTTTTAAAAAAATTAGCTATTCCTATAATATGACCAGTAAGGTTGCCATTTCTGCTGAAATTCTTTCAATGGTCTTCTGTTTATATAATTAGTTTTGCCAATGTTGAATACTCAGCTAGTTTATACCCCGGAAAAATTTGTCTTTAAGGTGCTATTACTGGATCTGACCTAGATAGCCCAAGGTAGCCAGATCTTGTCAGATCTTGGAAGCTAACCAGGGTCATCCCTGGCTAGTATTTGGATGGGAGATCTCCAAGAAACACCAGTCATGATGTGGAGGCATGCAATGGAAAAGTCAGCCATTACTTGATGGCATTTCCACCACCACTGGACTCGAATTTTGTTCTACTACTACAGATTGACATGGTTACCTACCAACAATCTTCAAAAGGAAAAGGTTACTTTCAATGATTTTGGAAAACCACACTGGATTCAATTGCAGCCTCTTGATTTTATCAAACAAATTTTCTTGATTTGCTACAAACATACACATGCACAGATTTTTCCTATATGCTGTGCCAAGTCAGTTCTCATGGAAAAAGAACCCAGGAAAACAAAGACAAATGTAACAGCAATTAATAAGCGGATGTTTACTGCACTAATTAAGCATTTCCTAGAGGGCCTGATTATGTGTTTATACCA